CGATGGATCTTCCATGGATCTTTTCGATGGATTTTCCATGGATCGTTAGACTGCTATACTTGCTACGAAGTAGGAGTGTTTTGGAGCCATCGTAGAACATCTTACGGAGTGAGTCAAAAAATTTAAAGTCCCTCCGGTGCTCAATCATGTCGAGGATGAAAGGTCCTAATCGGCACGAGTTACTGGTTGTAATTATTTAAATAAGTTAGTGACGAGCACATGAGTAATTCCTTTCTAGGAGTTACTCATGAAAATTGTATATTGTATTGTATTGTATTGTATTGTATGTTTTATTAGTTCAGGATAGGTTTTCTTGTCTCATCGGTTAAATTCATCTAATAAATAATGCAATTAATTATTGCACTTTCTTTCTTATTACGTGTTTTGTTCGTAGTTAGTAGTGGTGAAACCGAGTATTAATCTACTCGTTTTCGTTCAGAAAAGCATGTAATAAATGTCTTACATGCATTGCTTCGTACTTAGTTTATCTAATCGCGATTATTTTCGATATATCGATACTTCGATATTATAAATAAATGAGCAAGAAGACAAACCCATTCGCGGCGGATAGATTCTAGCAGTTAAGTGGTGGCTCAAAGCCCAGTTCTTCTATTAGAACAGCCAACTTAATGAAAGGAGTCGTCCGAGGTTGTTTATATATATTTATTGTTTTCTTTAAAAATGTTTAAATATTAAAAAATTAAATTTAACAATTTTCTTGCATAATCAAAAAGTCAAATCTAAATAAATTGTAGAATATTTAGCCGCTTAGATAAATTTTTATAAAAATGTCTTTATGTATTGTGTATTTATGTGTTTTTAATCATGTTTTTAGATCAGGATTTTCAGCTTCTAATATATTAATCTCCCGTTTCTCCCCCCCATACTTTCTGCGTTCTCATCTATRCGTGTGCCCAGGTGTTACACGTATGGATGAGAAACAGTTAGTGTGGGTTTAGTTTTAAGTTTTTCCCCTATTGGCRGCTGTTATTGTGCTAGTGATTGCACGGTGTACATTGCACCTGTGTGTGCGTATTAGGTGTGTGCATTGTACATCGTTTCGCGATTATTTTTAATTAATGCATTATTTAATACTTAAAGTACTACTTATTAGTAAAGCACACTTAGGTGTGCGATGAAAAATACACATGTGGTTGTATTTTTCTATTTATATTAAAGTTTTMTCATGTTTTTTTTCGAATCGTTTTGAATAGTAGACTTCCCACATTTATTTGTGGAAATTTGACAATACTTGTATTATATTAGTATGCTGATATATACTAGTATGTACCAGT